GGATAAGGATGATCCTTCCATGTTTTAGTTCAATAGCCTTGTCACCCAAAAAGTAGAACTAAGCTCAAGGTCCCCTGCACCCAAAGAGGACTTGAAGCTGTATCTCTTAACTTCCTAGAACAGTGAGCTAACCACTAGATCACAAGTTCAGTACTGTCCTTCTACAGCCTTCTTCTTGAAATGGAGCCACTGCACCCTATATTTTGTAGTCTTTAGGCAAAATAAATGGAGAGTAGTGGGGAGGTTTCTGCTTCATTGGGGCAAGGGTCCACGCTATAACCCAGTGGCCCCTCTCATGCAGTGCAGCAGTCATAGCACTAAGCCACACATCTGATGGCTTGTTCTCTTTCTCCCAGCCCAACAAGTCTCCATCTCTTGGCTGCCTAAAGGAACAATTTTAAAAGGAAGCATGGTGAGGGTGTTGGGTAATACCTAAGTTGTGGCCTGGTCGCTAGAGCAGTGTGTGGAAGAGCAGGAGATTTAGACTGAAATCCATTCCAACTGAGGACCTAAGTCTCCTACTTCCTGGGTGAGTGCCCTAACTACTAAGCTATTGAGCTAAAACATGGGAGGACTGCAGATATGGATGGAAAGGCCCTGTTCCTGCAGTGCTTAACACTGCTAGCTGTGGGTTTTTGCTTGGCTTCATTTTTGATCTCCCCGTAATTCCACACTAAGGTATGGGAATGCAAACAAATTACTGGGTAGTAAAAGCAATTTACTAATTTAAAAGAAAGTGGGCTTCACTGCACATCAGCTATTCTGCAGTAATTGCCCAGGTACATGAGCTTACCCTACAATAAAAGGAAACAAGGCTTTTTCCTTGAAGAATAAACCAATGTGTGTTCACTGTAAATATGAGCAGTTACCTTGGAGAAGGTGACATGCAGTAAAGCCATGTCCTCCTTTGCCTTAGAGTAATTGTTAATCTGCCCCCCGTGCCCTAAAAGTGTTTTTGTGAAATGTAGAGTGTCCATATAGGCATTAATATTGAAGGACCAGTGTTGCACAAATTCACACCTTAGCTTACTGCCCAATAACTTCCCTGTGCAGATAAGTTATGAGTGGATTCCTAAAGTGTTATGCACTTAATAAAAGCAAGTAACTTAATTCTGTCAGAGAACACAGTGAAATTGTAAAGAACATCATACATTTTAGGGACAGGCAAGAATTCTTGAGGGTGATCTCATTTTATTGGACCAACTGCATTGTTGGGATAGACACAGACAAGCTTTCAAGTCACACAGTACCCTTCCTCATGAGACTTGAAGAAGGGTACTGCATTAGCTGAAAGCTTGTCTCCGGCTATCCCAAACATGAAGTTAGTCCAGTAAAAGGATATCATCCACAAGAATTCCGGCCTCTTACATATTTCCTGGACTATCACAGTAACGATATCACCTCAACACGACCAAAAACTTTAAGAACAATTTTTGTAACATTAATATATATTTTCTAATCATAATGGGTCATCAAAAGAAAATTAGGACTTTTTAAAATGAAAAGCAATTGATACAAAGAGACCAAAACCAGAAGTGGCGTAGTCTGCAGAATTAAAGTGGATATTTGAAAAATCTACATTTCAGTAAATGGCTTCCTGTAGAGCTGAAGGAAGTACACCTATTTATAAGCCTTGTAGCAAAAAATTAAAAAACCCCAAAAGTCCTTGTGCTCCATTATGGACCCCTGTCCTTAAAACTGAATCCTTTCAGGTGAACATTTACACCTGTACAGAGCCTCTGCAATGGGATGCTATATGGGTACAAGTCCACAAGGTTCCAACTGCAGGATCAGGGCTCTAGTGAATATTGCAGATAACATGTGGTCATTGATCAGATTTATTATTCCAGATGATTTTTTTAAAACTAGGGAAGGAAAATCAAGGATCCATAACCAAAACTGTGCAAAACAAATACATTGTGTAACAATAAACAAATATGCTCTGATATTTTCCTTTTCAGGTGAATAAAGCATGAACCTCTAGCAACTCCTGTATAAGTTACAAGTGGAACAAAGTTTTAACTTATCACAAAGCTAAATAATAATTTAGAAAACATTTGCCTTCTCTTGCCAGCATAAATGTTTATTCATTTCTCGCATTTTCAGAAGAGATCTGTTCTCACCAAAGATTAATTGACTGGCAAGACTACATTATGGAGAGTTGGAAGTTTCTGTTATGGACTCATTACAGAGATATTTTGGCTATTATACGTTAACTCCACTCTACATCTCCCTTTAGTTCTTCAAATGTCATGAATAAAATTAACTTTAATAGGGATGCTTTCTGATCAAAGCTTAGGCATATTTTTTTAATGTCTTACCTATGGATGCAGAGTCCTCATGCTTTGAACTAGTTCAATGTAGACACAGATCTAACTAGAGAGTGACCATTCTTTAGTTGGTAAGTCTCTGACAGGTTGAGGCACAGACGCAACATTGTAGAGCATGGATGATTTGCAATTCAGCACTGTGGGTGGACAGCTTAATTAGTTGTCAGTGGACTACTAGAAATAAATAACTAAAAGCTAAAACCCAGTACAGAGTCACAGACTACACATTGCATATTAACTATGGAATTAAATACAAAGGCCAAATATAAGGGCTCTGATTTAGTATTTGTCCTGCCACCTTTTGAGACTATGCTCTAAGAGGATGATTCAAAATAACCTGTAGGTGTCAAAGATCCCTATAGATTAAATTAAGAAACTTTAGAGATGCCTAAGAGTGATTCAACTTTTAACAGCTAGGCACTCTATACAGAGAACAAGAAGCATTAGAGTCTTCCAGAGAGTGATTTAGAAACACCACAGGTGCACAAAAGTAGCAAATGATAAGAAAAACCATGTCAGGGTACTTCCCTTTCTTTCAGTTGAAGCTGAAAGACTTGGTAGCCAAGACTGCAAGAGTCACTGAGGAGTAGAAGAGTGATTTGTGTAGAGTCTGTCTATATAACCTAGCAGTTTTGACCCTCTCTTTTGGAGAGGACAGCCCTGGGTTCCCATCCTGTTGAAAAGGGTATTTCTACTTTTCAAGTGATGATTATGCAACAAAAAAGGCACAAACAGCCTTGGGAGTGCCTGTGGAATTCAGGGTTCATGGCTCTGCTATAGTTTTTTTCCATTTCTCAAGCAATGACTATTGTAAAATGCAAAAGCAGTGTTGGAAGCAGTCATCCAAACCAAAGCTCTTCCCTCCAGAAGGAATACCGTAACCACCAAGATGCTTTTCAAGCATGAGCAGAAGCCTTAACATAAGCATTGAAAGGACTAGGTTAAGAGTTTACCATTATTCAAAATGAAGGACATGTATACAGTTAGTGACAACATTTATAATGACATTAAATAGTCTGATTTGTATTGCAGCACTGCACTACTACATGAAAACCAAAGAGTGAAAAGCAGCAGAGGAAATCATTTCATTAAAATTTAAGAGACTAGAAAATAATTGCTGTAATCCAGTAAATTAGACTGTTTTTGCATATATTCCTGATGCTAGATTAATATTGTCAGTAATAAGGTTGCCATTTTGTTAAAGGAGCTGAAGGGCAACCTGAGTCAACTGAATGTAAGTATGTGATTAAATGCTTTCCTGAACTGGGGTTTACACTCTGCAGTCAGCACTGACTTCTTAATCATATTATATTACTACATACAGAGACTAAAGACTCAAGGATTCATTTTTTTTTTACATGGAATCAGTCAGAAAGGTTAAGTAAAAGACAAAGTATGTACTGTGGATTATAACAAATTAACAATATAGGTTTTTACAATAATCTTAAAATATCCCTGTTTACATGATAAAACCATCCCAAATATACATCATGCAGTTAATACATCAATATTTAATCATGTTCGTTCCTTAAACACCTTATATTTAGAATTAGTTTTTTATAATTAAAAGAGGAAATACATCAGACTCGGACAGTAGCAGCCATCATTAAATATGCATCTAGGTGCTGCAAGTACCCTTAAACTCAGTTGTATCAATCATCAGTCTTCAGAAAGGGTGAATTTCAAAGCAGCAATGGAACATTAAAATGTGATAAATCTGTAGCATATAGAAAACATAAGTTTTATAACCAACTGGAAATCTGTGGGGAGGGGTTAAATAAAAATACTGAATATGCATGACTCATAACATCCTTTTTAATACAAACGACATCTTTCATATTCTTCATCCTTCATACAGATATTTTTATAGAGTGAAAGAATTATTGGTAGAAATAGTTATAATCCAAAGATTTATCTTTTTCATCTCTGAATCTGAGGTGTATTTGAGATAACTGTATATTTCAGGTTCTTAAACAGACTAAAAAAAACTGTCAAAGATGAAAGAAAATTTGAATGACTTGTCAGTCTAAAATAAAATAAAATCATGTGGTGGGGAGGAAGAAGCTTCCAAGTTATTGGTAGTTGTTTCATCAAACTGGCCTCTTACCTGTGGAGTCCTGCTGGTTTCAAATTTATACTGGATACAAATCTAGGTGTTTCAAATTTATACTGGATACAAATCTAGGTAAACATGATAGTCTCTAGATATTTGTCTACATTGAAAAGATGCCATGAAGTATGATATATTCAAGAAAGGTCCTATAATCACTTACAGTTGGGAAGTCAGGCAAATTCTACTTGAAAGATTCCATAGCTTCCCAATTAAGTAGTATTAATTCCATAGTCCCACTAAGTAGTACCTTCCCCTATATATTTTCTAGCATTGAATGCATACATTATGAAGATTATTTGTCTTGGTCTTCATCCATAAGACCAGCTCAGTACACATGTGTGCAATCACACACACACTTCTAGATATAAATACTCAGGCCCAGGACTAGGCAGCCAGCTTTGAACAACATTAACAAAGATATATATGTATGGGAATTCTCACAGTCAGCATGCCTCTAGCCAATGTTTTCAAATAATCATTGTCTTGACCAACAGATTCACATACACAAAAGTTGATATGTCTTTTGTTAACTATTCTTCATATTCATTTCCTCCCAGATACCTTTATCTATGAATGTTTCAACATTTCTAGCATACGACCAGCCAACAATAAGTTACTGTGGCATACATCATGAACTTCTCTCTCATAAGCCCTATGAATTGAATGCACAGGAAGAAACAATGGAAACACACCTAGAGACTGATCTGGATTTGAGCACAATAACAACAACGGCAAGAATCAGTGAACACAATCAGCCACTGGCGTAACTTATTTTACTTGTAGCAGAAAGCTGTAATCAAACTTGAAGTAAGATGAAGTACAAAATAATGGAAACATTCTGATATGGATTCTAAAATCCCTATTCGATCAAAAGAAGAACCAAGAGTTGCAGATGAGGACATGAATTGTTTCAAGTCTACAATTCGTAATTAGCTAAGTTGTGCAGTATTTTTTGACTTAAAGCAGAGTATGACCCTTAAAGTGAATCTTTTTTCAAAACTCATCCTACCTACCTGTAAATCTGTACAGATGTAATGTATTTTTCATATTGTAAAGTTTCAATTACCAAGAACAGCTGGTATGTACAGTACCATAATTTAATTACATCTTACTTTACAAATTTCAGTTTCGAAAGTTTTAAATTAACAAAAGTTATTTCTTGTGTTATTCAGTTATGTTGTTTTGTAGGGACTGTTTTGTTACTGCTTTTGTGCCCAGAAAACTTTACTCTAAAATTCTGTGCTGTGCAGAACATGATTTTTACCATGCTTACTGCGTAGAATTTTATCTACTTGTTCCAGAAATAATACATTAACCAAAAGGATGGTTTAATTGTTCAAGCTTGTGAGCGATTCTTCAATACGTAGACAAGTTTTCTTATAAATGAAAACTCAAAGAATTTTTTTAACAGTTCTTCTCAGACTTAACTGATGCCTTGAATTACAGCCTGATTTCTAAAGCAGTGAAATGTAATGATAAAGAGGGATATTTTAACAACACATTTCTGAATGAATGGCTCATTATTTTATTCTTTTGTGTAGTATTGTATTAAAGAAAAAATGAACTGTGGACAACGCTACAATGGAAACAAAGGCAGTAACCACAGCAATGAGGTTTCATACCCTTAGAAGATGCAGCTATTAATTGCCAAGGATAAAGTTGTATTAAGTCTCATTGCAATTCATCATCAAGTGGGTGGGTAGTCATAAGGTAGTCAGCTATCTCTACAAGGTTTTCTCTAAAAGAAATACCTGCGAACTCAGGCATCTCTGAATTTTATTTAAAAGTTTCATCTGTAAATGTTAGAAACCATTTGAAAAACCATCTTGAAGAAGACAAGGTTCTTTGGGTAAATGTGATATATTTTATTAGACCAACTAAATAATTGGAAAAATTGTTCTTTGCAAGCTTTTGGGCACAAACACCCTTCTTCTTGAAGAAGATGCACAAAAAACTTAAGTGATTTTCTTCTTACCCACAACATAGCATTTTGAATATGACATTAAAATTTCACAAGTAGGGCATTAGGGCCAAACTCTACTTCTATTAAAGTCAATTGCCATTGACATCAGTGGGGACAGGAACAAGCCATCAAACAGTAATCTCTCCCTGGTGCGTACAGTTAAACTACTCCTAGCACTTAAAATATTTCTCAAAAGGTGAAAAACTAACCTTTTTTAAAAAATATGCATTAATCTGGAAAACAAAAAGGTAAAAATTAATAGTCTCTTAATATTATGGTAGTTCAATTTACCAAAAAAATCTTTAAATATTAAAATAGTAATATTAAATCTATAGCAAATCATATCCTCTTTTGATTTAACTAGCATTTGATCTTTGCATTGAAGAATTCTTATATTTTATTCTTTAAGTTTTAAAGCTTCAAAATCTCTTCTAATACCATATTAAGATAAATTTAATTATTGTATACTCACACCATAATCATGAAAAATTACATAAATCAGAAAATCCATTCGCCATGCTGACTGGTTAAAATTAGGAAGGGAAATATGTGGCTTTCAAAAGTTGAGACATGAGTTTCATATAGTACTAGCAACTTTTTTATAATAAAGAAAAAATATATAACCATAAATCTATTTTTCTGAATGTTTCTCCCACTATATTTTAGTGTTGCTTCAAGCATAAAACTGAAATTTAAAATTGCAGTTCAGTTATTTGTACAAAAGTATAAGGCAACTATTATAAGAAAAAATACCTTCAGAATATTGTTAACAAAGGAATTTGCATTCACTATCTTTTAAATGGAAAAAAATTGTCAAAATAGAGCACATTGTATCGGTTATTTATTTAGCATCTTAGATTTTGTAACATTTTGCATAAATTATTTGCTATTCAACATATTATTTGTCATTTTTGAGACTTATCTTAACTTTCACTATTTTTCAGTTCCCTATTTTTTCACTGCATTGACAGGATGGTTTCTTGAATATCTGATCCTTGCCTATAATTTTCAAATTTTACTATGCACAATTTGAAAATGTTAAAGTGAATTATAAAAGGGAACAACCCTGGAGTCTTAAAATTATATTTGGGCTTTAGAAAAAAATTACCTCCTATTACTTGAATCATTTTATTATTCAAGGGTTTACATTCAGTTGTCCTAGTATGTATATGTGGTCTATATAGTTGGGCTAAAATAAGAACACCAATTCCCCCCAAAAGGGTCAGTTTGGTTACCTTATTCCTGCATGTCCTTTTATGTTCTATACATTCTTTATTCCTACTGTTACCTCCTCCCACTTAATTTCCCTCAAACATTTATGATAAAAATATAAGGCCCACACTCCCTGCCACTGCTTTAAAATCTCATATCTTCAAGGATTCCACACATTTCTTCCATTTGGGGCACCAAACAATGTGAAAATCTGAAATGGGGAGGATGGGTTTATGAGCACATTCTACAATACTTGGCAACACAACTTCAGGAGAAGGCCATAGCTCAACAGCTGGTGTGAAAACAACAGTGGGTGACTACTCAGCTACTATTTTGCCATAATGACCAATACCAGGATCAGCAAATCTGATAACTCCCCGGTGACCATGCTCAGCTTTATTATCCCAAGAGATTCCTAGTAACATTCCAGGTGGCTACAGCTTTTCATTTCAGGTGGCCACAGCTCCTCAGTGGCCCAAGTGGAAGTGGAACACCTAGCTGGCCCTGATGAAGTCTTACCGGCATATCTGGATATGATTGTTTTAGTTGACAACATGCATCTGAAAGCTACTATTCTGAACAAAAAGGATATCTGCCAAGAGGACTAAAGGTGACAGTTTTGCTATGAGACGCCTTCTAACAAGAAGCTTTTTATTTCACAGCAATGTTTTCCAACCAAAGAAAGGGAAACAAACTGGCACTTTCACTTTTGCAAAAGCAGGAATAAGTTACCTGAACATTAATGACAGTTTTTAGGTCCCATTTTTGTTTTGTTAGAGAAGAATGACAAGTCTGTTTCTTTAGCCAAATTGTCAAAGTCCTTGTTAAAAATCCTTACATATGATACAAATCTCATTTTTTATATTTTTTTCACTACCTGATCAGCACCTTGATAAGTGTGCTCAGGGAGACCAAAATTAAGTCAAAAAGACTCCCCAGATGCACTGAGAAGTTCATATTTGCATGTAACCTCCTAAACATCTCCCTAGAGTATCATGAAGTGCTCAGACTAACTACAGAAGAGAATGGATGAATAGAAAGATGCACATGTGGGTATGAGATACATGTATGTCACATGGGGAAGGGGCTAATATTTGGGGATCTTCCATAGGAGCTATGAGATGTTCCTACTTAATCACAAAGGGCAGAATGGACAGGAAGTCTGCATCATGCAACTCTGAAACCATGGATGTATATACCTATAATCCATAGAAATAGGAGCGGTATGCAAAATACTGTGTTTTCTTGCAGATGATCTGCCTCTTTGGTTTTCCCCAAAACCAGCTAATGAAAATTAGGGTATGAAAGAAAAAGGGGTCCCCACAAGTCCAGAAATTTGGTGGTAGCATTAATTGGGTTGGCTTTGGGATCCATGGGAGGTCTCCTGGCTAGACGACATGGCTCTGCACACAAGATCAAGCCGGGGCTGGGACCAGTCTGTGGCTGGACCTGCACGTGGCAGCAGACCTGAGACATGGGGTCACAGGCACTGACCCAGTGGTCTGGGTCATACCCACCCAGCACACAATCCTGGAGATAAGGAATAGGGTTGGACACTGCACAAAGACCTGATATCACCATGCCAGTCTGCAGGCTTCATCCATCTGGGGTTTCTAGATGCTACTACTCAGTGGATGCATCTACACATGCAAATAACATGCAGAAATAACACACCATGCCAGAGTTTATTGCTCCCAGGCTTACCATTTGAATGTGCACCCAGGACCACAGCACATTGAGCTGGAGCAGGGCAGCCCAAGGTGGCAGGAAGCCCAGGGGGTTAGCCTGCCACCCCAGGGCTGCTCTAACCCAGCTCAACATGCTGTGGAGGAACTGACTGGGGCACAAGGGTGCTCCAGTGCAGGGCTAGCCAGCAGGCAGTCCCTGCACTGAAGCACCCTTGTGTTCTAGCCAGTCAAGTCAGTGTCTACATCTGTGTTGCTATGCACTAAAGAATGTCGCAGTAGGATAACATTAGTATTTACAAGTACTATCCTAAGGAAAAATTTGTTAGTTTACTGTCGCTTAATAGGGCCACACATGTAGATGTTAAGGCATTTATTGCAGAGATAATTAGTCAGCTCTGCAGTAAACATCTCATGTAGATGCACCCAGTTTCTGCATGGAAGATTTTTTTTTCTTTTCACTGCCTTCAAAAACAATGTGAATAGTATACATTGGGGCATGCTATATGCAAAATCATATGGTAAGTATAATACTCTAACCTTGGAGAGAGATTGACTAGATGAGGAGGTCAAGCAGGTGAATAAAATTCCAATAATATAGATAAAAATAAACGTAACCAGAATTCTTCCTTTGGTTAAAATGAAAAACAAGAAAACCCTCTGAATGATAAATGGTCCACCTAGGAGTGCAATGAGAGACAGACAGAGCAAAAAGGAAAAAAAATAACAGCAATAATTTAGCTGGTCTCCAGAAAGCAAACAAAAAATGAAAGCCTGTGTTAATGCTGCTACAGTATCCCAAAGCACTTGCTGCTGTACAAAATATTAAAAAGAGACTAGTTGTACAAAGATGTAGGAAGAAACCAATTCCTTTTCTGAAGAACTCTCAGTACAAAAGTTAAAAAGGGGGTAGAGCTGGCAAAAGGGGATATGACCTAGAACAGGGGCGAGCAAAATACACCCTGCGGGCCAGATTCGACCCACCAGGCCATTCTATCTGGCCCACAGAGCCTGTAAAAATTTAGTAAATTAATATTTATTTGTGCTGGCTCCCTGTCAAAGCTCGCTGGAGCAACGGTCAGTAGAACCCAGAGGAAACCCTCAGCAGGCTTGCAGGCTTGAGCATCCCAGCCCTGCCCACCCTCAGCCAGTTCCCTGCTTTCCTGCCCGGGCCTTACTCCAGCACCACATGGCTGTGGCTCCCAGCTGCATCCCCAGATTGTGGAGCATGGGACCATGCTGGTAGGGGTGGGTATGTGTGTGTGCACGTATGTCGGCAGGCACAGGAGCAGAGTATGTACGTGTCTGTAGGCACATGCCATAGTGTGTGTGTGTGAGTGTGCACGTATGTGCAGGCACAGGGGCAGTGTGTGTGTGTGTGTGTGTGTGTGTGTGTGTGTGTGTGTGTTCATAGGGTGAGTCCCACATACATGCCCCTCCATACACATGTACCTATGCCTCCCCTTGCACTGCCATACACAAACCCCAGCCACCCTCCCCCATACCCACCCACACCTCACATACCCACACACCCACAGCCCCCACAAACCTATAAGCACCCCCAACAATATACAAGAATATGACTTAATTTTAAGCTATGGTGCAGTCATCTCTGCATACACACAAATACATGTGCAGTCACCTCTACACAAATACATGTAAATCAGGACAAAAATATTTTTTGAAATCAAATTAAAGTTGTAGATGATCACTTTTTAGAATATAATTTGGTATTTTTCTGGTTCTGAGATGACAAAATCCGGGGACAAGGGGAGGAACTTCTGGTGGCAAAGGTCAAGCGCTAGGGGGTGGGACTTCTGGTCGCAAGATGGTGACCAGGGGCCGGAGCACCTTTCAAGGGGCAGGGCTACCCATGCAGCCCTTGACCACTTGCCAAAACTCAGTAAGCGGCCCTCCACCCAAAATAATTGCCCACCCTGACCTAGAATAACTTTTTTAAAGGTTTCAGTTTATTCAGTACATATCTTTTCTAGCTCCATTTCTATCTTGTCATTATTGCTGGCTTTATAATCAAATTGGAATGTGCAGTAATAGAAGATGATTTAATTACATTGACAAACCAAAAATGTACTTCCCAAACAAACCTCTATATTTTCAGCAACAATTTAACAAATAAAAAAGAGACTGAGCCTATATGTTATTAATTTAAAGAAGGACATTTTCATATATTATGTCTCCTTGCATTAAGATCTGGAAAACAATAAAAACAGACTCAACAACAAGATCAACCTCCACTTTACAATTAAGTGACACCAGCAGCCATATCCTGATAAAGCATTATATCCCAAGGAAGCTGGGAATATTTGTGATGCTTAGAAAACACAAACTAATTATAAGGGTGACCTCTATCAATAAAGAAAAGTCAATGATGGACCAGAACTCAAGTCCTATCAACATTGCATGCAACTTGACATGATGTTATGCTTCTGAAGCAGTCTCCTGAGTGAGCTGATTACTAGTAGCTGAGTAGGTAACAAATGACGGCTGGAGGAGGATAATTCTGTTCCATAAGAAATGCTGAGCTTTTAGAATTAGCTTGTGTTGAATATTGGAATGAAAGCAAAATCTTTGAAATATTTTCCTGAAAAAAGGAACTGTCAAATTTCTGCCATCTATTTTTATTATTTTCTGAAGTCCAAGCTCTCTATTTCTTTCTCCCTTCCCCAATGTGTTTGAAGCTTGTTGATTAGGGCACTGACCAAAAATGTAGAAAAACTAAATTCAAGTCCCAGCTCTGACTGATTCGTAAGAGCATGGGTGTAAGGGTTTATCTCCAATCACTGAATCAAGCAGATTCCAGATCTGAACCAGGATTTTCTACATCATGGGGCAGTAGCCTTGGCTGTGGAAATGGGAGTCTTCTCCTTCCAAAAAAATCCCATCAAAACCAGTCTC